AAATCGATATTATATCGGGCGGCAAAGTATCGCGATATATTGCCGTATCGATATTTTTACCCACCCCTATTAAACATACTACAAGGAGTTTTTAACTGGTTATGAAACAGTCTGAATTTAATTCTAATGCCTCTATATGACCTACATAAACAAACAAGATCTCCTGATCTCAAGATTTCTATACAGTTATTGGTAATGCCAGCCAACGCGTCGGAAATAAATTAAATCCTCTTTAAAGTTCTTAAACCTCAGTTAGCATTTATTATCATCATTTCATATCAGAAATAACACGTTTTCATGTGTGTGCGTTATCTTTCTATCTGTTATCTCTTTAGTGGACACCCAACCCGACACACACGAGGTGGACCAGAGTGAGATCCGAACTCAGATCCTGCTGGCCACCGCCTCCTCTCTCGTGAAAGGGCGACAGAGTTTCACCCACTTGCTCACAGAGGTCAGACCGCAATAGATACAATCGAAAATTAATAAAAGTGGTATCGCAGACCAGCTGATGATTAGTTTTCTTTAATATTCATCCGCAGTTTTACAAGAAATGTGTGCGGTCATTAAGAGCTTTACTTTAGCGTAGATTAATATTCAACCCAGTTTGTCCAAATATTTAAGAGCGTTTTTTGTGACCCGTTTGTGTCAGCCAGTTTAATTCCCTTTAGATGTTGACAAGCTTGATGTTTTCTTTTCTGATGAACTCTTCGCTTTTCAGAGGGAACAAGGCAGATGTAGAGGCTCCAGTTTTTCCCATGGAGAGTGCAGTCGTATCCGCACACAGTAAGTGTTGTTTCAGTTCCCAGTATTTCTCAACAAATGACCAGAAGGTGACAGAATAGAGAATACGAATAAGAATCAGTTAGTTCTTCATTCTTGTATTTCATGTGACTAATTGCTGTGTATTTCTTGTGAAAATCTACAACAACATGAGGAGCACTCGTGATGTTATTTTGTCAAATGATGTAGACCCTTGTTCCTTTGCAGTTTTCTTCCAAACTATGTATCCCACAAGGATACTTACCAGCAGAAAGCCTTCTGTGGAGTTTACAGTGAGGATGGCAACATGTTCCTCTCTGCCTGCCAAGGTAAATAACCCGACATCCAACATGAGAACCCAGAGGACCTGAAACAGATCTGATAATCATTCTTAGTGTTTGTTTAAAACTGCTTAGACCACCAATCATCAGGGCCATTCGCCCATAGAGTCATATAGAGAATGTGGTTACGTATTGTTGACTTTTAAACAGCTTTTTTAACATCAATAGATGTCATATTTATTGATTTCTGTCACTTTTTTTTATTGATTTATTATGTGATTTCTTTTTAAACTAAGTTTCTGTTTTTTAAGCAAACAATACAGGCGAGGGACAACAGGTCTCACCCAGATTCCACCACCTCCCCTCCATTATTTGATATTTGATTGCATTTTTTTTCCCCCTGTTGCTCGCTGCAGACCAGAACATCCGCTTGTATGACACCACCAGGGGGCGCTTTCACTTACGGCGAACAGTGAAGGCTCGCGATGTGGGCTGGAGTGTGCTGGATGTCTGCTTCACCCCTGACGCACATAATGTCCTCTACTCCAGCTGGTCTGACTACAGTAAGGCTAGGAGACCGGAAATATACAATGTAATCCAATCGGTCAACGATGCTCTTTAGTTACGGCTTGGACAGCAAGTGATCTGCCAAGAACCAAGACACATTTTACTGATGGTGCAGTGGCAGCAAAAGAAATCTGACTTCAGTCCCTGTAACTTTACCTTAGCATGTGGCAGTTATTGAGCTGTATATTAGTTATATCATAGTATGCCTTTTTTAAACTGTGTGTCCGGGCTTATTTCCTACAGTTAGTTAGGACTGTGTTCTCTGGCAGAGATCTAGATATGATTGCACTCAGTTTGATTCTTTGGACCACCTTAACCATTATTCTTAAAGTATGAAAAAGAGCTTCAAGGTCCACTGCGTAGGAGTTAGTGGGATCAGGCACCAGCCTCCCCTTCCAAGCGTGTAGGAGAAACAATGCTGTCTGCAGGAGCACCTGTCTAGAGCCTGTCTTTAGTTTGTCTGTTCTGGGCTGCTGTAGAAACATGACAAACTCCAGGACCTGCTCCATCTGGAGGTACAAATGGCTCATTCTAGGATAACAAAAACACAACCATTAGATTAAATATTATACACAAACTGGACCTTTAAAAGATCAATGGTCGGTTATTTGAATAAACGTGACCATGTAGTTGGTGTGGCTGAACCAAGTATTCCCAAAAATGTAATTTCTTTTAGAAAATCCTGAATACTTTAATAATAATAATAGTAATAGTAATAATAATAGTAAGCTCCTGAGCTAACTGTGTTGTGTGAGACATAAGGCAGTCCTGAAGACCTCTCTAACTGCATATTAACTTTATTGTTTATTTTTTTACTTTGCACTATTTTTTGTCTGAATGTGAAATGTAATAACGTGAAAATTATTTTAATAATCCAACAATCCCACAGTAATCGCATCTATCGCATCTAAAATACTGTTGTACAGCTGTCAGTGTCTGAAATCTTACTATATAGTGAACTGCTGAGTATCTCTTATAGGGAGTAGTGAATTAGTGAACAAAGAAGTCTTTCTGATGTAGTCTAAGTTTTGTTGGCAGTCAGTGTTAGCATAAATTTAGCAAGATGTATATTTTTTATGTCTTTAAAGCTTCAGAAAATGCTGCAAATGTCATCTTTCCATTTTTAGCAGCCTGACTGTAAATGCATGCTTGTCTTCCACCAGTTTACACAGCATGATGTCATATAATATGTTGTTTTATTCACATATTCTCTCTGTGTGCCTTCCCCACAGTTCATTTGTGCAGTATAGATGGAGACAGTGAAAACCACACCGCCCTGGACCTCAAGTTAGTGTTTCCCTCATAGTAACTTATAACATTACGGAGCAGGTAATCTATCACTCCCTACCAGCCGGCCCTCCTTTCCCTTCATTACCACCTGGATGAATGATGCTGTCAGAACTCGTCACCTCAACATCCATCCTCTCACTGTGTGTGTGTGTGTGTGTGTGTGTGTGTGTTACTGTGTTAATTGGAGAGATCATTATTTCAACAAAGCGCTACCATTAAACTCACAGCACTCCTAACAATAGCATTGTTCAAGAGGTGACGTGTGTCTTCATCAAGCGTTTTGGTGTGGAATGACATGTAGTAGACAGCGTAGTTGTGATTCAATAACAGTGCTATTGCTGTAGTGTCATCCTGCTTTTGTGTGTGTTGTGCTTTGTAGTCCAGATGAGAGGAGGTTCTGTGTGTTCTCACTGGCTGCGTCCACAGATGGCAATGAGATCCTGGGAGGGTGAGTAGCTCTTATGTTTGAAGGCAGTGGCTGACAGAGTTGAAACCAGGACTGATGTCTCTTTCAGAAATGTAAATTCAGGCAACTCCTCTCTTTCTGACAGCCGTTTGTTCAATATTGAATAGATTTCTGTTCTTGTTGAGGACAGTACACCTATATCTAATATAAAGCACGCTCCGTTAAGTGCAGTCAGTCACGTTTAAACCTTGAATGACAATGTGCTCAGTCTCCCTCTCCTCTCCTTTCAGAGCAAATGATGGCTGTCTTTACGTTTTTGATCTTGAGCAGAATAAACGAACGCTGAAGGTTAGTGTGTCTGAGTGTGTTTGGTGTTTGCTCTTTGCTTGTGGGCCTGACTGTACCCGTTTCTGCCTCATCCTGCGATCAAGGTGAGGCAGACGTTAGCAGACCTGAAAGTGCACCGGCTCACATAAAGTTTTATGCCACGCTGCTGTCTGTATCGTAGCAGCAGCAGACTCCAGCTCCACCCTGCAGCGGGACAGGGGGGTTTAACCCCTCCTCCCTCCTCCTCCCACAACCCCCCTCTGAGCAGAAGTCAGTAGCTGGCCTCTACCATCTGCTTCATCACTGTCTTACGCTCTTTTTCATTCTGTCCGTCCCATTACCTCTGCGTCAGGGTGTCTCTGTCTTTATCTCTGACCTTGTTCCTTTTGCCCATTTTATTCCCAGGATCGGTCTGGTAGTGGTCTCTGTTTTTCTTATTGTTAACAGATCTGATGAAAAGACCAAAACCAACAATAAACTGATTCTACCAACATGTCATGCCTGCCAATGCCTGATATATCTTATTCTTCTGTGCCATAGAGCTCTACTTGTCCAAAACACTTCTAAAAACACAGCAGTGAGCCACACAGAGAGAGTGGGTGACATGTTCTTTATTATAGTAGACATTGGAGCTGTAGTTTATTTTGAGTCGATCCCATGTACCCCGTTCTGCTGCTGTAAATACTCTCTAGAGCACCAAATTGGTGGGTGAAAATAGTCCCCAACAAATGCTCTACTTACTTTTTGTTGACTCATGTTTGCTACAGACGGCAGTGTCCAGCTGTTCTAGGTAATTATTTAACCTTTTTCAAATTGAAAGTTCATATTTTTGACCTGCTTTTAAAGCTTGGTAATTGATTGATCGAGAGCGATTTCTCCCGTAGTGGTACATTTTGGAGACAGAGCCACAGCTAAGTTGGGGAAGTGAGAGAGTTTTGAGAGTGGAAGTAACCTATTGTTAGATTTGGTCTTTGCATAGGTTTTGTTGATAATTAAAGAACATGACTAATAGAGTCTACAGCCACTTCAGCACAGCAGGACTTTAAACTAAATGCTCACAATTACATGCTAACATGCTGATTTCTAGCAAGTATAATCCCTTTGTCCACCGTGTTCACTATTTTAGTATTAAGATTGGTGATAATGAAGTGCATCTGAGGCTGATGGGAATGTCATTAGTTTTTTTTGATATCTGGTCATAAATCAAAGTATT